AGGCCCAATAACCATTAAGAGCCAACTTTCGTATCTTAGCCCATTAAACCAAAACACTGGTAGCAGTAGTGGAGCATTGTGGGCTTGAGGGTTAAGAACCACTGATTCAAGGTTGCTGCTGCCACTGCTAAGTCGCTTCAGTCATATCGGGACTCTGAGCGACCCCCAGACGGCAGCCCATCAGGCTCCACAGTCCCTGGGATTCTCCAGGCAGGAACACTGAAGTGGGTTGCCATTTCCTTCTCCAATGCATGAAAGTGAAAAGTCAAAGTGAAGTCGCTTAGTCGTGTCCGACTCTTAATGACCCCATGGACTGCAGCCTCCCAGGCTCTTCTGTCCATCGGATTTTCCAGACAAGAGTTCTGGAGTAGGGTGCCATTGCCTTCTCTGATTCAAGGTTAACTCAGATTTATTTGAGGTGGGAAGGCAAAAGAGAAATCTAAGAGGACCCTCCACCCTAAGTTACTGATAATGTTGTTTATCAATGTGAAACATACTAGTTTTGATGGACAGATTACATGGGTAGTAATTAGGTATGTTGAAACCGTTCGACATTTAAAAAGACACACAGTAGGCAGTTTAATGGATCTGGTGCTACAGAAAGGGGTGAGTATAGGAATACTTGAGTATTACCATACAAAATATCTGAGGCCATGAGTAGGGAGTAATATTCAGTTATTTGCTGTATACTCATACGCTAGTCATAAAAATGTCCAATGTCATACAGGTTCCATGAAGTAAAAGTTCAAACCTGGCTCTCTGACTCCAGGGGAAGAGTACAGATAGAAATGAAGTATCACTGCCAAACCCACCAGTGGGATCATACCCATTCACTTCATATTACATTCAGGGAAAAGGTACTCAGTCTCTGATAATGGCACTGAGAACAGATCACAGATGTTTCAGTTTGGGGGTAGGTACAAAACTCTTTGTTCTGAGTGCCTGACTAAGGTCTTTAATTATCACTGTTTTCAGGCACTATTCAATGTGATGCAGTTTATTTCTGACAGCATTATTACTTGGTTCCTTCTTTTTCTAAGGTTTTAAACCACCACTGTATTTTGGATCTCCTCAAACACAACCAAATCTTGAGGCTTCACGAATTAGCTCACCTTATTCATCAGTAAACCTGTCCTTCAAGACTGCTCAAGTCAATTCTTTAGTCTGCCTCTTCATTCAGACAAGACTGATTTTCTTCCCACTTTAGCAGAGACTTTTATTAGGTGAAAGCAGTTGTCCTACATATACTTGAGCTTCAAATCCAGGTCTTATTCGGTTGAATAATGTATATAGCATTCTTCTTAAGTATATGTTAATTATTCACTTATGTATAAGTTACCAGTTATTGTTCTTTCATTATGCTAGTATGTTTACTTTGCTAAATACAGGCATTTGCAAACTATTAGTTATCACATGTTCATCTTTTAACCATGTGAAATGCTACAACACCCTCTTGTAAGCATCCATGTGGTTCAATGTGGCTGGGAAAAAAACAAAACTGTGTTTACTGGTCTTTCAGTGCCTATGCACTTGGCTCTAATGCCACCTGAATTCATTCTTACTGACATTCTATTTAACTGTCAAGGCTCCTACTTAAGGTCAAAGCTATCACCATCACCAAGGTCTAGATTTTATTCCCTCACCTACCTGATGATAAACCTCCCTCTCCAACAATTCTTCCTTCCTTCCCTTTCTCCATCATCTACCAGAACGGAGGCAAGTCAAAGGTTAAGAGTTAATCTGAAAAGGACACTCAATAGCCAAAGCTGGAACAGTTTGAGCAGAAAACAACACAGCATTCAACTATGACTTAAAGAATAAATATGCAGAAGTCTATACAAGTGTAAACAAATAGGAGACAAATCTAAAAGTGAATTCAAATATGCATAGACAGTCTTTTCCCACAGGGGGGTGGAATTTAATTCTCCCCATCCCTACTCTGAAGGTGAGCTACACTTACTTAGTGACTTGCTGACAAAGAATGAAGTAGATTAAGGGGGAAAAAACTGAACTACAATGGTGATTTCAGGCAATTTCCCTAAGAAGAGCACTTTTCTTCTGTGGTATCTGCTCTGAAACTCACAAACTCAGTCTAATCACAAGAAAACCCAGACAAAACTCAGAATGAGGGACATTCTAAAGGATACCCAGCCAGCACTCCTCTTAAGTCATCAAAGGCAAGGAAAGAATGACAACCTGTCAGACCGGAGGAGACTGGAGACATATGAGAAACAAGTCGAAGTGTAAAGTAGCACCTTGGATTAGAGTAATGGAAAAATACTGAAATTCAAATAAAGCCTGGACTGTAAGTATAGTAACATATCAGTGTTGGTTTCTTAGTTTTGACAAAATCACAGGGTAATATGCTAATGATGGTGCAAACTGGGTGGGAGTATGTGGGAACTCTCTGTTCAACCTTTGCAACTTTTCTGTAAATTTAAAGTTATTTCAAAATACTATGTCTACTTATCCACCTACTTACAAAAGACTGAAATTAACACCTTATTAAATCAAATTTTTAAAAAATCTATTTTGACTTAACATTTATCTCCTCAAACAGGTTATTTGGTTGTTGCTAGAGATAACATTGATATCTGCCATGAGACTTGGGGGTGAATCACCATTAAGCCACTCCTGTAGATCCCTTGGGCAAATTTTAATTTCTTTAAACTGTAATCTTTCTATTTGTAAAACATGGGATGATATACAATAGTATGTAAAGATGACAGGAAGAATTAGCCAGGAAATCAGTATTATATACCTTCAATTGTCTTTAAATAAAACTCCATTGTTTTCCAAAAATAAAACTATTTCCAGTTTAGGAAAGCTATCAAGTTATTTCTATTTACAAACAAAACATCTTATGCTTACAGCTTACTCTGAACTTGGAATCTGTTGACAATACCAACTATTCAACATTATTTAGATAAAAGGATTCTAAACAGAAGTTTAAGAACACTTAGCAGTTAAAAAAGTTAAAACACTTAGCACGTGTTAAGTGCTAAGAAGCACACTATGACATGTTATTTGCCACATGGAGTCAGATATGTTCTGGTACAGAGTGTTCAACTAGTTTGGGTACTCTCTGTTTAAAAAACGTCAAAAATTGCTGAGTGACAAAGGTTACAGTGATCATGGCTTTGGTATGTTTTGAATATAGGGAGTCTAAAATGCACAATCAAAAGTAATAAACCAGACTGCAAATAGTTTAAAAATGAACATTATATCAGAGCTTAAAATTTCTAATTTATTTCTAACAAACACCACTTGATGCTTGACTCACAAGCTTTATTTACATTTGTCTACAGCGTCATTTCCTTACGAAATATACTAGTACAGCTTAAACCAAATAAAATCATAATCATTCGAATTGTCTGTAAACTACTATTAGCTAAATTTATAACCTTGCATTTGCTTATTAGTACAGTCAAAGTTTTAAATACAGAAAGCACAAGAATAAACCAACGATAACATGTAGAATCTAGAAGATCATGTGGGCAATTTAGAAGGTGGACTTTCAAGAAGTCTGAGGCACAATTACAAGAGAGTAAAAGTTCTTGTGCAACCTACAGTAAATGTAGCAAAAAAAAAATTTAAGACATAAAAAAAGCAGGGGAAGTTCACTGTAAAAATATTATCAAAATATTTCTACATAAGCTATTTTGCTTTCATCTTTAGATAAACTGAAGAGAAAAATCACTCATTTAAAATAAAGAACAAATGTAATTTTGATCTGTCTACTAAGTACCTTAAAACATTTTAATTTTCAGTTGCAGTAGACATTAATGTTAAGGAAAAACAAACAAAAAACAAAAACAAAAAGTGTGGGTATTGATTCCCATGCACAAAAAGTTCCCAAGCACATGTGTCAATTTCCCTTAATATACTTACCTTGCATCGTCACTGAAGATACTGTTAAGAGAAGCCTTTTTTGAAAACCAGAAGACAAAACAGAGCTCAAATGACCAGGTTTTGAGAAATAAAACAAATCTTGAAAGTATTTTAAGCCATGAGTAACTTCATGTGAATAGGAGCAATTATTTCTGCTTATGTCAAATGAGGAAATAAGCATTTGTTACTCAGAAGAAAATTTTATGCAGTGTTGAAACACCACAAAGCAAATGTTCATTTAAATTCATAATGTCTTGTCTCTGTTGGTCTTATACCAAAGAGAAATATATTTCAAAAGCTTTCTTCAATTTATTCATTAACTAGGATTTAATTTTGTCTACCCTATTGTGTGATAACTGAATTTTTAAAAGGTATCACACAAAGCTTCTAAAAACATTAAACACTTTCATATGTTTTTCTCATCAACCACATTAGTAGAGATGAACTGCTAGGCTTTCTTGTTCAAAATCACTGTGTCAGAAAAGCAGAAACTAACATCTTTATCCTCTGTAATTCACAAAATTTTTCTGTATCAACCTTGGTGGTGCAAAAAGTAAAACTGGATAGAGACAATGATTCTAAGGCACCCTTAACATAGGGAATTTCAAAATAAAGAAGTTTCTAGTTAGCTGTTTAACACTGTTAAACTTTTTCTAGTAAGAATCACTTTGACACAAGTTAACAAACAGGCTGAGTCCTTTCCCCAGATTAACATAAACAGATTGTTTCCAACTACTTTACCACAGTCTTGCCTCCATGCCCAAAGTCCAGACAAGCCTAGATAATGCTCATATTTGGAGATGAGAAAAACAAGAGTTTAAATTAGAAAACAAAGTACTTCCTTATAGCTGAGATGTTATAGCTTAAAATAGCAAATGGTTGTAAATAATGAATGACAAACAAAGCATCTATTTTGGTACACATGGCTTAAAATACTATTTACTTTTAATTTTACAAATAAACACAGCTGTATTGTTCTGAAAAGCAATGAAAGGCATGCACCTCTACTAGCAGATTTAGCACTTCTGACCAAGTAAGACACCAACTTCTTAAAAAATATGCTTCATGCATTATATTGGACTTTTTTTTAAGATGTAAATTTTAATACATTATTTCTTTTTTGAACTTGAACGGGAACCAGAATGGGATGATCCAGAAGGTGACCTGTGGTGCCTGTAAGACATAATGGAGAAAACAGGTAATCTGGTAAGCTGGAGCTGATTATCAACTTCATTTATATGACTTTGAGAATATGAAAAATTAAACCTCATTAAACTGGCAAAAGGAATAATTAAAATCTAAGATATAAACTTATACACATTAACTAGTATTTAACTTTGGATATGAGCCCAGTAGCAGTGCAACCATAATTTAAAAATCCCTTAAGATATAGCCACCTCTCAATTATTTAAGGCAATGAAGGAAAGCCTTGCAAAATTGTATACAACTACAGATTAATACAACAAAGGCATATAAACTGGGTAATGGCAGTGTGATTAAATCATTCTCTCTGATAAACTGTACATAGTGTGGTAAGACTATATACGTAAAATAGACATAGCAAGGCTTCTGACTGTGTATGCAAATATATATCCATAAATAATTATGTTTTGGAAATCTAGGTCGCACAAGATGACTGTACAATTAAGTTACAGGATTATATTCATGCAGCTAGTATGAATAAGTCAATATATCAACCTGGGTAAAGTAGTGGTGTTCCGAGGGGTTGGCCCTGGGCTCAGGGTTGTTTAGTGTTTTCACCAATCACCTGGCTTATGGAATAGAGAACATGTTCATTAAGTTTAGATGACAACAAACTAGGGGGATTTTATGTGGCTAAGATAAAAATTTGCAGAAGTGGTAAAAAAGCAACAGAATGATTCATAAAGTACGGAGTGATTTTTTTTTAACAAAGGAATAAATGCGCAGAAATGAAACTAGCTGTGTGTAACCGTAATAGCTACACTTCAAAATGGGAAGACGCAAAACCAATCATCATGTACAAGAAGAGATAACCCTAGCACTGAACATAGCAAAAATCAGATTTTATCTAATCCTTACTTTTCACAAGCTGAAGGGATATAAAAATTTGCAAAGATTATTAAGGAAGCCATTAAAATGACTATATAATTAGACACTGAGGAAAAAAAGAGAAAAATAATGAAACTGAATAATCAATTAGTCTGCTGCAGAAAAGGCTGACAGATGACACACTCTCCAAATTTTAAAAATATTGACACAGGTAAAGTAATCTAGTAAAGATCTTTTTCAACAAAAAAGGAATTCGGATGGAAAGATAAAAATGTATTAGCTATAAGAACAATTTCTTTATAAAGGGAACAAAAACAACAATTTGTTGTGGAAATGTATTTATACATATTTAAATAAGGACAGACTTCCAATTTTAACTGTAAGAGTTAATTTTCTTATTAGATGCCCTAGAATCCTACAGTTTTTAATATTTGATGTAAAATCGAAGGCATAAATTAATACTTATAAAAATCAACCTCTATATTCTATCAACACACAGCTTCTGAATTAGAAACTTAAAGAGACAGAAATAACCGAGAGTTGGCTATAATAATTATATATGAAAATAAAAATTTAAACAATAAAATAATCAGAGAGTGGAAGAGAGTAGTTTGATCTACTTTTCTAAACAACCTGATTAAAACACAAAGAGTAAACAAAGTAATTAATCTGTTTTTGAAGTTCAAAGTTGAAGAGTTTGAAGTGGGTAACAAAGGAGATAATGAAAATCTAATTCTGGACTAAGAAGTTCAGCTAATCTATTAAACACACTTAAGAACACCCATTCTTATTTCTACAGAAACCCAAACCTTTCAGGTGACCGTGATCTTGTTCGTCTTTTTTTGCGATCACCAGATGAAGAAGATCTAGAACGACTTCTCTTTCTGTTCCTCTCAGGAGATGATGATGAACTTGAGTAAGATCTTTTTCGTGGGGAAGAAGAACCCCTGTGGGACCTGGAGCTGGATCTTCATTGATTGAGAAACAAATCAAACATTTCATTAAAAGAAGAAATGAGGCAGATGGTTTAGTTTCTAGCTCCAAAAATAAACAATTATAGCTATAAAAATTTTATAAGAAAGAATACTTACTGCTTACTCAACAGAAGACTTCTGGTTCAACCATGAAATCAATTCTATTTAATTTAACTTCATCACTAGATAAGTACTCACTACTTTAATTAAAAACTAGTTTAATGTATTAAAGTAGAATCTTAAATTCGTTTTCTAAAACTTAAAGGCTTTCATTTTAAAGTATAAGTAGCAAAACTAACAGGTAAGCATTTGTATAACTTAAATGTCTAGAAACTATATCCCTCCATTTGGGGAAAATATATGTATCATACAACTTCCTGAGGAAAATAATAACAGTTTGTTGTGGAATTAAGCAACTTATTAGTTAAGTTGCTTTAGTAAAAGCAGGAATACGGGGACAAAATGACATAAAACAGTAGCTGTTAAATCATTAAATATTCAAAGAAAAATAAAGTAACTTTAAAACTTGATTAACAATATTTGTTTTTATGAAGGATTACTATCCATGAAGTATGAAGTGTTGACATTCACATGTTTCAGGCAGAGGTAAATGTGCAAATGTTTAAATACAGTATTTCTTCATTTACATATTTTGGTTGAAGTAATTTAGCTCAAACTTCCCAAAAAATTCACCTTTGGGCTTAAAATAAAATCAGAAAGCCCAAAAGGAGAATTCTTTGGAAAGTTATAAGCAATGAAAAAAATGTTTGAAAAGAATATGAAGGCTGTTCTGTAAACCTTAAAGTGCTTCCCAAAGGAACTAGGACTTAAGGATCTTCACCTAAGAAGCACTCAAATAAAAGAACTGAAACACTGATAATACATAATAACAATAATCTAACTTTCTATCATAATAACTTAATACAAGTGTGTATATCATTCTTTTCTTCTTCATGTTACCAAATTGTAGTTGTCCTCTAATGCTACAGATCTGGCTCTAAAATAAGCTATTAAGCAATTCTTTTTACCAACTAGCTAACACTACACCTCAGTGTTAATTCCACTTAAGTGGAATTTTAGTTGTTTTCTTATTCATGCTAGATGTCTTTAATAGATCAACAAATTAAATTAAAAAGAATGGCAGCATATTTTGACCAAGTCTAGAAAAAGCTTCAAGAGACTAAAAGCTAGTTTCTCACTTGCTTCTTTACAAATTATTTTTCCCTCTGCAGTGCTAACTAAATGCAACCTGAAGTTAACAAAAATGCTTCAAGATGACATCCTACCTAAACCACCAACCAACTTCTTAATTTGTGGAATTTAAGAAGTGTCTAAACTTCTTACACACTACATACACTGTGTATAATATTCCGTGTTATATTACAGAGAAGTGAAAATAAAACCTACTTTATCTGATGTAAATTATAGAATTATTTCTGTAAATACTAAAATTGCCTTGCAAAACTGTGTTGAGGCAGTTATTTTTCTTTCTTTTAAACATGAGGTAAACTTTTTCTTTTTATCTGCATACTTATTTTAACTGCTACTGCAAAATAACTTTAATGAGTAGGCATTTGGTGATAAAGCTTGGCTGCATCTTCCCATTTCATCACATTTTAGCACAAAAATAGCAAACCTTGCACAATGCAAAATAACCACCTTAATTCAATCATGGGAATGTCTTGGCACACTGCTGGCAATGGAGACATCTCATGGTGAGAAAATTAAGCTGAGGCAAGTGCATTAGTTTTCTAATGCTAAAATAAAATTGACAAATAGAAGCAAAATAAGAGGAAAAAAGCAACGCCTTCTGCAGCCTTTAAATATTTTCTCTCTCTGCTTTACAGAGAGATGCTACCTCATTCACCTTGATTTCGACCCACGAGATCTCGAACGTTCTCTGGAACTGGAACGAGATCTTGACTGCGAACTGGAAGAACTTCTTGAACGCGACCTGGAACAACATGGAAGGATATTTTTTTCCAGGACCATTTAATTAAGCTTTGTGATATGAACACGGAAAGAAAAATATGCATTAGGATTCACTTTCATATAATAACTATTTGGGATAAATATTTTCAAAATACAGTATTTTAAGGTTCATTTAAAACTTTTATTCTGTAGTAACAATTATGCCAAAACTTAAACTAATAATTTTTTAAAATAATCAACTACTTTCCAAGTTTATGGGGTCACAAAGAGTTGGACACGACTTAGAGAGACTGAACAACTTTCCAAGTTTGACAAGATCTCTTTAAAAACACTTTTAAGACTGTACAGATAAAAATGCCCAGCATTATCACTTTATTAATATTGAATATTTTGTTCACAAATACTTAAAAGTAACCTGGGAGGAACTGACACATTCAGGAATATAGCAGTTTATATTTAACTTGAAATCTTTCTATTTTCTTGGTTATTAGCTAGCATAAGGCTTCAATACTGACATGGGTATGTTTTTAACCTGTATGTTTTCTGCCTACTCAAAGATTTGAGAATTAAAGGGAAACTACACTGACAATCCTGTCACCGTTTTAGGAAATTATTGAAAAATGACAGGAAATACGGTCCACTTGCATTTAAAAAGTCAACAAATAAATTTCATTTAGTAATTTAATTTCTACTTAATTTGTTCCTGAAAAGAACAATATGAAGAAAAACGTTAATTTTTACCTTAAAAGTATCTTTATAATTACTGTTTAAAGTTTTCAGGCTTTACAATAACTCAAAAACTACCTAAGTACTTAGCTAATATTTTATTCCTAATACAGTTGAAATTCATTGCACACAGTTTCATTTAACTAAATAGGAGCTCTTCAATGGAATTTTGCTTACATAAAGTGTTGCTTTTTCTCAACCAATACTTCATTTTTATTGTTGACTATACAATCAGTGACTTTTTATTAAAACTTAACATTACTAACAAAATAATATGCAAGTAGCCCACAAATTAAATCCTCTAATTTATTCCTGGACAGCTCTAAAGTATGAGCATTAGGATAATAGAATACAGCCAAATTTCCCCTGTATTCAGAATACCTATGCCCAATAAAATGCTGTGTAATAAGCAGCAGTTCAATTAATGCCTAGAAAATTTCTGTTCGAGTGTTTAAAATCATCAGGGGAAATATAAATCTTCACTTTATTTACTCCGAGTTTTCTGAATGTAAAATTATCTCTTTAGATAACTAAGTATCTATAAATAATGATTTAACTGAATTTTTAGAGTCTATTTTAATAAAAGGCCTGGTGCTAAACTGGGCTAAGGAAGTTTCATAATAAAATTTTGTATTTCCGAAATACTTGACAAAACTTCACGGCACTAAGACAGAAAAAATGATCTTTTAAATGATAACTTGAATGAAAACTCTAAAATAAAAGAAAGTTTAGTTAAGAAAAACAAAATTTATAAGTAAAGAAGTTAGATACTGACATTTTGACTGGTGTTACCCTTGACCTGTACCCGTTTACCTGGACCTAGACCTTGAACTGGAGGGGGAGGATGAGCGTGATGAAGATCGTGAATGTGAAGACCGAGACTTTGAGCGACTTCGTCTGTTAGATTTCTTTTTATTACTATCTTCTTCTTCACTGGCATCAAGATTATATTTTGAGAGATCAGCATCATCTTCATCCTCATCCTAACAAAAATTCAGAATCAATTATATTTAGACCTTGAGATATCAATGCTATCTACTAGGAATGATGACTAGTTCTATGTAATGGACATCTTCATATGAACATATTTTACCACTAACATCTCAACAAATTCACTCTCAATCCTGAAATCTGACTACATTCCTGATCTGAGCTAAAGAGACTTAATGACTGTCTCAGACATTTCAAAGATGTAAATGTAGAAGTCATACTCATTTTCTTTTTCACATAATGTATTAACCATATAAACTGTCAAGAATTTTCAGTTTTATTCCCTTAAAAGTTCTTAAATGCATCTCCTTTAAGACTTAGTTCAGAACTTCATTCCTTTCTCTAGTACACCCTTTTAGGAAGTCTAACTGTGGGAATTCATCCTGCCTCCCCAATATCTCAGTATGTTGACAGTCATCTCTAAAACACAGATCAGGTAAATAGACCTCAAACTTGTTCCATATTATTTTATTTCATTTGTTTATTTTTCAAACTTGTTCCATATTGTTTTATGTGCATTCGAGGGCCTCCTATGCTCAGACCTCAAAGCACCCTTAATCTGGATCTATTCATCCATAAAAGTTTACACTCAGGCCCCACATAATAAACATCACCAGACCTGATGTGTTTGCTGACCCCCTTATTACCTTCTCCCCTCTGCTCTAACCACACTAGTCCATGTATGATTTTTTTGGATGTTGCTGGTTTGTTTCCTACTATGGGAAACTTTCTTTGCTGTTCTAACTGCCCTAAAAATGCTCTGATCCCAGTCCTTACAGCAGGCTCCTTCGTATCACTCTATCATTCAAGTCTCAACACAAATTTCACTGTCTCAGAAAGCCCCCATTCACTGAGTAGCTATTCTAATGATCTGCTATCACATCATGCATCTTCACAATATTATTGCTATTTAAATTATATTGTTTATGTCTTTTCCTCTCTGCAATTTAAATTAAGAGAAGCATGGTTCTGTCTCAGTCACTATTGTATATCTCAAGTCAGAATAATGCTTGGCAAAACAGATCAAAATTTTTGTGAAAACAAATGATGACACTGTAGAACACATCTTCAACATAAGCCAAAGGTTGTCAGAGACATTCATATGCCATAGCTTGAACAAGACAAAGGGGAAATATGATAAGGAAATAAGTTACCTCATCTAATTTATATTTAGAAAGATCTTCATCCTCATCCTCTTCTTCTCCCTCAGATTCTTTATCTTCAACTTCCTTTAAAATAGATGCAGGACCAACTGCCTTCCCTCTGTATTTTTTCTTCTTACGTCCAAACTAGAGAAAAAGTTTCAAGATATTTCTATTAGCTGAAAGTATTAAAATACTTTTTCCTAAGAAATTACTGTTATATATTTAGGTGTCAACATGTATTTGTAAGTTAATTATGATTTCCAACAAAATGATAAGCTGCTGTAAAAGACAACGTGTACTTACAAAAATGAGATACATTTAGTATTTTCTTTTTTCATTTAAGATATTTTCTAACATGTTTCTCTAAGTTGCATTCAACCTACACACTAATGTATACCTTACCTCATCATATTCACCATCAGACTCTTCTCTTTCTATGTATTCAACATTTTCTCTTTCATTAAAACCTCCACCATATCCTAAGGAAGGGGGAGCAGAAATTGTTATGATAATTCACCAAAATCACCTACAAGTAATAGGGGGAAAAAATAAAATCTTATCAAAGACATCTGTTTATCCCTTTAATAAATTATTGGTCTCAAAAAAAAGTATCACTACAGAGAACAGCCTCAAAGTTGGATATAAGCTGGAAAAGTCCCATGGCTACAATTTTAGCTCTTCTCAATTTCAAAATGTCCTGCCTGTATGATTTCAGTAATACATGGAATATATGGATGGAAAACATCTCCTTAAACATCTGCTGTAACCAAGTTTTAAAATGACTATCCTCTGTGATTTTAATAATTCTTTGGGGAGAAGTGGGCTCAGTAAGAACTAAAAATCAAATTTCACTGTTTGCTAGTTAAAAATAGCTTAAAATCTTTTGATACACTGAAATTCTGCTGGGCTAAAATACAGTTAAAGCTTGGAAAATAACTATATAATGGCAAATATAATGACACAACAAAGAACATAAAAATTGGTTTTAAATACACAGTCAAAAGTCACTCAGTTTTTCTGAAGAAGCCAGTAAACTTTTCAACTGAAAATATTCTAATAAAGACCAGTCAAGATCAACAAACCATTATTATTTACTGTCACAGCTACTATCTACAATTTAGACCGACAGATCTCTGACATAGGCTTAACAAAGATCAGAAGAAGAAAGTGAGTTAGTTTTAGAGAAAATGAGATGAGAACTTCTGAAAACTATCTCACTGAAAAAAATAAAGAAGTAGTTAAGAGTAACATAACCTAACTACATCACATATTTCAGAAAAGTACCAGCACACAGAGTGATTCCCAGATTTAAGGATTTAGTGAATTAGCAAAATGTTAAATTTATAGACAAAAAAAGCATTTTTTAAAAATTTAAGATCTGTGCCTTTATATCTGTCAGTCACAGGCATTAAAAAACTCATCACTTACCCTCTCATCATTTCCTAAGAGCCACAAATGAACAGTAGAGAGGATGTAAGTGTCCCAGTAAAATAATGAAATAAAATGAACTCACTTAAAAAAAGCCCACATTAATGTGGTGTCCTTTTTTTACCTCACTATATTCTGTACTGGTGAAAACCTCAATATATCAGTGTCTATCCTCAGAATACTTGATATCATCCCTTTTTTCCTCTTCCTACCTTGTTCCAGAGACAAAATAGACTCCAACTGTAATAAACAAGAATTTCCCCGTTTCTATGCATATGAAACAAAAGTGAAGTGTTTTAAATATTAATAACAATTTTTCCTTAATGAAATCCTGGCTCTAGTTTTTCAGAGTATCAAATATTAAAAAAAAAAAATCAAGTACAACTAGGTATGTGCTCATCTCAAGAAAATACCTCAGGGATTTCCTTGGTGGTCTAGTGACCAAGATTCCATGTTTCCAAAGCAGGGCCCAGATTCAGTCCCTGGTCAGCGAACTAGATCCTACATGCTGCAACTAAAAGCTTCCATGCAACTATAAGCTAAAAAACATCCCGCATGCCAAAATGAAGATCAAAGATCCTGCACTCTGCGACCAAGACTTAATAATTTTAAAAAAGAAAAAGGTTCATAGTCAACGTTGATTTGAGGAGATAAACGCTGTAGAAAATTATAAATCAACAATATAGTTTCTTGGCTCTAGATATATATTTAATATTATGGCAGTATGTCATGAGACATAAGAGATGTAGTAGTAAAGACTTAAACCTCACAATACTTTGAAGCAGGTGAAAAATTAATGCAAAATGATTCACATAAGAAAAAAGGGAAAAAAAATTATACAATAGGATGACTATAAGCCAACAGTACAGAAAAACTAGACTGTTTATATATGGTAATGTAAACATATTAAAGCACTACTATTTAAAATCAATAGGCTTTCAGTAAAGTTCTTTGTCCAGTCAGTAATCTGAAAGTAAAATAATGGTAAGGCAAATAATGGGGAGCCAAAGAATCAATTATACCAAGATTTAAAAAGCAAACATGTAGGTAGTTTTGCATAGGTGTGTAAGTAAAATTACTGCAAAATAAGCATGATAGCAAACACAAAGCTATTTTCATGTTTTCTCACACAGTCACAGAAGAACCTAAATAATCTGCTAACAATACATTATTAAGGTATGTTGTATGAGTCCATACAACAAATACACCTCATGAAGTCTTTCTATGTGGAAAGTCAGTAGCTGTATCATTAAAAAAAAAAAGCCTTCAGCATCATCTCCACTGAATAACAAGGGAGAGGAATAACTGGCTAATTTATGTGTGTTTCCCTCACTCTACTGGTTTGAAGCTTTCAGGGAATATTGTAAAAATTGGTCTTCTTGCTTCTATGCTTGCCACTCCCACCCTCTAATTCTTTTTCTATAAACCAGTAATGTTTAAAAATTAGACAAGTCAATCCCTTGTTAAAAATTGTTATTTCCCATTATATTTAGAATAAAATAAAACTTCTATGATTTACATGGCTTTACCTATTTCTCAAGTGTTTTCTGGAGCTGGTAGGAATTCACCCAATATGCTAAATTCTTTCAAGTGTCAGGGCCTGATTCATATAAGCTGTTTGCTTTTGCTTGGAATGATCTCTCAACTAGCTACTAACTTTCACTTCTTAGCCTAAACATTGCTCTCTTGAAGACCTCATTAATTTTTGCCTTTACATTTCTATTTTGCTTATTCCCTGCATCGTGCCCAATGGCCAATAAATATTTCCTCAATTTTATACTCAATATTTGAGTAAAGAAAACACCACAGTTCTGGCATCATTTAAAGAATGAATTTTGTAAAAGGCTTTATGATACAGTTTATATGAAACAAGCAACCTCTACAGACTTTTAGCAAGTGTTAAAATAAAAATAATACCTTAAGATTTGTCTCAAAAAATGTAAAATGTGAGCAAAGATCAGTAAAGGATCAAACGGATTTAAAATAGGCCTGAATTATGGTTGTGACAATGGAAGTGAAGAGAGAAAAGGGGATGAATGTAACGTGCTTCAAAGGAAGAACTGAGACACTACTTTGAAAATTCTGAGAATCCGTATTTTGATTAATCAGCAAAGAGAACAAATAAAAAGACAAACTAGACAGTAACAGTATATTAGTTCACATCTTCAACAATGACGGGTTAAGACAACTACTTATATCAAGGGAAATGGGAAAGGGTCAGGACACAAAAAAAATGGGTAAAGGAAAATGAGAAGGTTATTAAACTTCGACAACTTCAGTTGTTAAGATTTTAGCTCTTGCATTAATGAAACTTTTAAATGAGGAATCACAAAACAGGTCAACTTTTAAATGAGGAATCACAAAACAGGTCAAAGAGAATGTAAATAAATAAAAGGCTTCTGGGGATTACGATTCTTATAACTGTTAAGATTCTGGACTTTTTCCTAAAAGCAATCAAAACAAAATGTTTTAAACAAATGGAGTTTTAATTTAGAACAAAGAACTCCTGGCTGTGTGGGAAATATGTACAACAACAAGGTGGCTGTTTTTTTTCCCCCCAAGAAACAAGATAAAGTGGTATCTCTGCCTAGGGTAATGATGCAGAAGACTTTTGGGGGAAGAGGAGAGATGAAGCAATTATTAAGAAGGATGTCTAAGTTTCTGGTTTATGTAACAAGCATAGGGTGGGTGGTACCAATCATGAGAAAGAGATCACTAGAAGAGGGCCAAGTCCTGGGGGAAAATCGCGAATTCAGTTTAGATATAATGAGTTTGACATTTACAAAGTGATGATGAATAGGCAGCTGAATATACAGGTCAAAGAAGTCTGAGCTAGAGACATAGATTTGGTTATCATGGTGTGCCAATGCTTACTTAAACTTAGGTCTTCAAGAAAATGCCCAGAAAATAGAGCATAAAAGAGAGCTTAGGAATTGGACCTAGAAGAAACCCAACCTTCTGTGACCATGAAAATACAATAAAAAAGGAAACAGAATAACCAACCAGAGGGGTGTATGTGTGTATTGGGTGTGTGTGTGTGTTAAGATTAAAAAAAGGGGGGGGGGAATATAAAAGTTAAAGAGGTAAGAGAAGGGAAAAAAGGTCTTATTAAAAGGCCTTAATCTATAGACAGTGCAATTTTCTATAAAGTCAGGGAGGAAAAGGAAACAGGGAAGTAGTTTATTAAGTCTAGGTCTGATACGGTGACTAATGTATCAACAAAAGGAAGCCTCTGACTGTACAAGTTGTTGAATGAAAAAATCAGATGTGAAGTATACTGATAATGTGTTTGTGCTAACTGATGATAATGGGAAACTGCATTCTATCAGGTAAATATTTTCACCCCACTACTGACAACACACAGAGGCTTCCCTGGTGGCTCAGATGGTAAAGAATCTGCCTGCAATGCAAGAGACCTGGCTTCAGTCCCTAGATGAGAAAGATCCACTGGAGAAAGGAATGGCAATCCACTCCAGAATTCTTGCCTGGAGAATTCTATGGACAGAGGAGCCTGGCTGGCTACAGTCCATGGGGTCACAAGGAGTTGGACATGACTGAGAGACTAAAAATGCTGACAATGCAATGACTGACAACACATAGAGTCAATGATGGGTTATTATTTAGACCAATGGTGACCAAATACCATCTAAAACACCTGCAAATTTTTGGGACCCACCACCAAAGAGCTTTGCCAGCTGTTTAGGAATCTGGATTTTCAGTTTCTCAAATGATTCTAATGCATGGCCAATTTTGAGAATTATTGCCTAAACTTTAGACAAATACTTTAAAAGGTGCCCCATGTTTGTTTCTGTCATACTAGGAAATCAAATGAATGAAAAAATGGTATTATCCTACCATTATTAATAACAAACATTTAGACTAGCAAAGGACAGAAAGGAATAAAGCATTCCTAAAACTATCCTAATGTCGACTATTTGTTAGGATAGTTTCCTCATGCTCTACTTTGTAAACTGTGAAATTACCATACAAAAGATGACTGTGGATGAGAGAAAAAAAAATCAAGGTAAAATATATAAGAGCAGAATAAACAATCCTCATTTACTGTGCTCTTATGAAGTGATATAATTATCAATTTCAATGTTTAGTTGTTTTAAAATCATAGTTGGAATGAGTGACTCTTACCTGTTCTTTCTTCCAGTTTAGCATACTTTGGAGTATTACACATGTTACACTCTGATCTTCTGGCCCAATTCACATTACTGCAACTTTAAAAGTGAAATATATCAAATTAGTAGATTATAACATAAGACAAAATAGTAAATTTCAAAATATTTAAGAATTTTAAAATAAAAAGTAGAGTAATCTCACTACCATCAAGAAATGTTTACTAAGGATGCTACAAAGGAAATATACCAACATACTTTTTCTGAGAAGAGAGTATGGTTAGAACAGACTGAACTACTTAAGCAGAGAAGCAAAAGCTATATAGTATGAAAAATGCCTCTGTCTTTTTATGAGAACTCAATTAGAAATTATATCTACAGAGATTCTGCTGTCTTGCGGGGGGGAGGGGGAATACCACTTTAAATGAAATGTTCTATTAATTTTCCAGTCTCCAAATTCACCTCAAGAGTAAGGTTATACCCTGCAAATAAAGTTAAACATTTTTTCTTTTCTCTTGCAGAATCAGTTCATGAATTGGATCCCAAATTCAGTGACTTAATCTGTTGTTGGAAAATTATTTAATACTAATTTAGTATTTTTAAGACCAGAAATTTGTGTAAGACCCTCTTCTGATTCAGTCCTTTCATGTGTATTTGATTCATCTGCTTAAGGGAAAAGATGGATATTGGAAAAATCAATATAGCACATAAAAATCAGAAATATTAAGAAACCTAATTAGGAATAATTATCTATAGGATGCAACTTATGATTCTAAAATTACTGTGCAAACAGACAAAATATATTTCATGATATATTTCACACTAATGATACGGGCTAAAAGTTTTCGAGATTTTTCAAAAATAGGACAAAATAGGTTTTTAGTGCTTTTAAATACCCCTCTCTCTTCTTTTTAAATGTTAGCTCATCTTGAGCATCTATTTACTGGTATACATAATTCATCTTACTAACAACTAACATTACCATTAAAAATAAAATTTAAAAGTTCTTTATACTTAAATATCTGATACAGAATGAATAATAATGAACAGATCTTTGATTTAAAGTCTACTGTGGCTTGCCAATGTGACTAGAAAGAGTAGGTAGTATTAACAAGTAGTGGCTACATACATTATTATGGGGAAAAAGTCAGGATGATCATTTAAAACACATACGTTTTACACTGCCAGTCATTAGCACTAAATAAGCCTCGGCTCTTTTCTGCGAGTGTCTTTCCTATTTCAGTGCCCCCTGCTTTCATCATCTTAGCCTCAGTTGTTTTCTCTGAAAATAGAAAAAGGCAGAATAAATCTGGGGAAATAAAGAAATGGTCTGTATAAACAGTCTTAACAGAAGGTTCCTTAAGTGCTTACCTCGACCACATCTATTACAGCTAGTTCTTCTAGCAAAATTTACGTTTCCACATCTGAAAATAAAGTAAAAAATACTTAAGACACGTATTAAACTTACATAATTTTAAAGATTCTACTATACAGTTTTTTTTAATGTGTCCTCCCTATATACCTGGATCCAGAACTTCTATTTCTCTTTTCACGTTAATATCAATGCTAACTACAAAAAAACAAAACAAAAAACCCCCCACAATTTAGGTGGAAAAAATACAAGATTTGAAGTTACAAGTCACGGATAAGAAATTCCAATCTCTCAATTACCAACTATGTGATTCTGGTAAGTCACTTAAAGATCTCTGCCTCAGTGTTCTCATATTGGCACACATCATTAAGTACAATAACATACCCTTACAAAGTTTAAGTGAGATGTGAGTCCACTTGAACAATTACTGATGAAGCACCAGGGAGTTCAAAAGATTTAAAGTAACTCTCAGTATAGAAAATAAGATTATACAAAATTTTGTTAAGAATTATTTAATACAAAATCCTAAAGGTGAACCACGGGGGAGAAAATGGGTAAGTCAGAAATGGCTTCATGGATCTTAATAATACTCGCTTGTTAGAAACAGAAGGTGGGATGGTAAAAAGACAAAAGAAAATTATGACAAAATAGAAATAGGTTCAATAATTAAAAGAAAACTCAATTTTGGGGGTATCTATCAAACCTCTGAAACCTAGTTGGAAAACTACAACCAATAAAGTCAACACATCAAGTAACATATTGTAACTTTATGTGATACTAAACAAACAAAAAACAAGGGTTCATGAACATGGTTTTTATAGTGCATCTGCAAATCATAAAAGCATGCTAAATGCTCTGAATAACATGTAAAGCTTAAACTTTAAAAAGTTGATTTCTTTTTTTTTAGGTATTATACTAGAATGAAATAAAGATGTGAAGTATGGAAGAGACACTCAACTGAAGCACACCAATTTAACTTTTAGGTCATTCCCCCCACCCCACCCCCACAATAAAGAATATCCTTTACGACTCCAATAAGCATTGGAAATACATTCTGAAAATGTTTTCTGTATTTATATACATTGTAGAAGTTAGTCTGTTCATATATTTGTAACTGAACTGAAATGCATTCTTTTAGAAAAACCTTCAAATATCTGAGTATACTGTCTTTAATGACACTGTCAAAAGCACATTATTCTACAAGTGACCAACAACACAAAAAGTCAGTTTGTTCTACTCAAAATTGACTTGATACCCTTCAAGTAATCGTAATCTTTGTGTAATCGAGAAACATCAACTTTTTATGTAAAGAAGCACGATGTTTCATTTCAGTTCAGTTGCTCAATCCTGTCTCTTTGTGACCCCATGGACTGCAGCCCTCCAGGTTTCATCTAAATTGCTCAAAATATGCATGGAAGACAAATGCTGCGGAAACAAGCCCGTAATCTTCTTTGACATTTGATTCTAAAACTAATATTCATAGTTATTGATTGATGAGTATTTGCTACATCTTATTGCTCCACAGAATCTATGCTATACCATTTTAAAGGGGATCTTCTGTTTTTTTTTAAGCAAAGTTAAATAACCTAGGTCAAGTTACATAAGCAACAGGATTGGAATTAATTTTCAAAGTTTTCACTGTTTACCATCAGGAACTCCATATGCCATCTGTGGCTTGCTTACAGACAAGCATTCTAAAGTTTTTATTGGAACACGAGATGCGCATTCTTTTTTTTTTTGACAATTACTTTCCATAATAATTTTTGTATATCTCCAAATAGATACACCTACTTAAACACCCGCCAATAAAAATCTTCCTAAACAATTTAATAAAGGACACTGGTTTCAGCAGAGCCACTAAAACACGTGCTTCTTTGAAGCAGGCACTCTCCAGGGCTGAGCAGGCAAAAACACAGACCTCATATGTTTCGGTTCTAAAGAGGCGAAAGGTTCAATTCTTGTGGGGAAATTAAAGACCAATAAAGAAAAGAAAAAAAAAAGCCAGAATTCCTCCAACCAAAGAGGTTAGCGTTCGGGAGGAAAAAGTAAAAAGAATACGGAAAGAAAGTTTGAATTAAATAAGACAACAGCAAAATGAACTAGGTGAAGCAAACGAATGAGTTCAAGAAAGCAACGTTTTCTGAACAAGAGTCAAGTTCTGCAGGGAAAAGTCACGTGGGGGAGATCCGACACCGAGTTGGCCTCCACCGGGGAGGTTTCCTTATCGCAGAAACCTGGCCGGGGGTGGGGTGGGGTGGGGAGGGAGGAAAAGGGGCGGCCATCTCCCTCCCCTAACAACCGGCTGCCTCGGAGAGAGATAATCGAGGAGACGCTGAAGACCTAATCAAAAGAAAGGCTCTTAAAAGACCTCATCGTGAGGAGACTAAGAGCCTCCTTCCCTCCCGGGAGCCGGCAGCTCTCCTCCACCACACGGATGACGGCATCAGCGACCGTAAAAACGGAAAATGCCCAGTCGACTCGAGAAAGCCTCCAACGACCAGCCCCGCCTCAAACTCGGGACCCTTCACGAACTCACTTTTTGTCCGGGCAAATCCAGTCACCGTCACTGACTCTGAAATTCTTGGTCGACATCTTGGACGCCGCCACCACAACCACCCGCAGCTACGTCTTCACAGGAGGGAGCGGGCCGGGGACTTTTGGCGCTCCGGGGCTGTCCTCACACCGCCTGATTGCTTTCCAACACTGCGACAGGGTTTGATAGTGCGATCACTCGGCCTAGATTGGGTTTGAACGTTATTGTCCAGAAAATGATGCCTGTCAGATTTTTTTTTCTGATCGAAAGAGTTACAATGAAAATGTATTCTCTAGGACTAAACTAACAGGCGTCACCAGGACAGCCCAGGCGGGAGGCCTTCGTGGCACTAAATGGCTCCGAGAGCCCCCTACAGGCGGGAGGACCTGAAAGGAAAGTACTTCCGCTCAGATGGGCGGGGCTAGGGAGGTGGGGCGGAAGTGACTATGACCCTCTGGGGCTGGCAAAGGAGGGTTTCGCTAATCGTTTGGGGTGTAGTGGACTTTTCCCGTTTTTGGAAAAGTGATTTTAATAAAGGCTCGAGAACTCTGTTCTTTCACCATGCACAGAGGATATCGTTTAAAACAAATTGTTTTGGGGTACGTAAATAGATGTAGCAGATAAGCAATATACACTTGGGAACTGAGCAATAATTTTGAAACTAGGAGGTTGCCACTATAGTTAAAAGACCTGTCTTTTCCCCATTCCATTCGCTTGCTTTCCTCCAGAGGTAACACTTGTATTTTGGGTTTATTCCTTTGCTTTTAAAAATGTAGTTTATGTCTAATAAATTGTTGGACTTTACAAGGATAGTTTATTGTTGTGTAATCGTCTGCAGCTTTCTTTTCGTCATCAATATGCTTTTAAAACGTCCTAGATTGTTACATGTATTTGTATTTGTTTAATTTTGCTGTTATTTATTGGTATGTTGCTTCGTGTGACAGTTTATCCCTCTGTTTCTCAACTTTTGTCATAAATTTGGATACAAAAATGCAAGAATTTTTCTAGTGTACAGCTTGTATCTATAGAGAACATTTTCAGCTACTTTCTAATTATAATTGCTTTAAAGACTGTAATAATCGTAGCATCCTGGTAACCTAGGGATTGGCAGCTGTTTATTTTTCCTTAATAACTGACCCTATTTTTTCCAGTTCTTTGTATATTGAGTAATTGTAATTTTTATCCAAGACATTTTAAATATTTTGTTGTAGACTCTGGGTTCTGATTAAAGCTTTTGGGGAATGTTGATTTTTTTTTTTTCTGTTTTCCTTTAAGAGGCCATCAATCCAGTTTGGTTCATATCTTGAATCTCACCTGTGGGTGCTGGTTCCATGTCAGTTTGGTTTTCAGAGGCGTTATTACATTGCATTGAATCTGTTCTGTACATACAACACTGAAGAATTATTTTGGAACTTGGGAAGTAATTTAAATTGTAGTTCACATATCTTTTGCTATGCAGCTTTTTGTTTGCCCTGCAGGTGCTTAGTTCAAGGTGTGAGCAGAGAACTTAGTCAGATTCATACAAAGAATTAGAGAGTTTGCTTCTCTAGCTCTGCTGTTTTTGATGTTCCTCTCCTACTCTCTGTTTTGCAGAGTCCCGTTTTCTTGCTAGAAATACGAGGTTTCTCTTGGAGTTTTAGCTTAGTGCCATAGCTGCAGCATCTGACTAGGGCGCACTCTGGAGCAAAGAGGTGAGAGAACGGAGCAAAGAGGTGAGAGGACAGAGCAAAACAAAAGATGAATTCCTTCCAAGAGGTACCTTTTCCCAGATTCCTTGTATAGAAAGACAGGGTTTTTCTTGGTGTCCTAACTGCCCAAGCCTGGCCCTAACTCTCAGTCAAGACCAGAGGGAAAAAAGGAGAAAAAAAGCCGAATATTCCCCCACAGACTTTAGCTCATGGAAGCCCTCTTTCCCGATCCATCTAGCTAGAAATGTGGGGTTTCTGTCTGTTTTTGTTCCTTGTGCTACCACCACAGTGTCACTGGGTGTCAGACCTCCAGTCAGATCTGTAAGAGGAAGTAGGAAAAACAAACGCAGAAGGCATTTTCCCAAGTTTTGACTTTCCTCCCCAACCTGCCTCTTTTTATTTATTTATTTTTTGAGTCCTCAGGTAGTTGCTTTTTGTATTTTGCCTTGAACTTTTAGTTAGTTGGGATCAGTAGGAAAGATAGACTGTCATGGTCTTACTCCATTTTGGCTGGCACCGCAAGTTGAGGAAATAGAAATTACCACTATACATCCATTAGAATTATTACAATGAAAAATTTAGACAATATCAAGTGTTGGAGAAGGTGTTGAACAACGACTGGGATTCTTATACACTGCTGGTGCAGGTGTCAATGGATACATTTACTTTGGAAAGTGTTTGTTAGAATCTATTAAATCTTGATGCTTTGCAGTCGGGCCGCGAGGCCCCACGTCTAGTGATGGGGAGCCCCTGGTGCTTGACGCCGCCAAATCGGCCATAGAGGTGGACGTTGTGACCGGGAGCCGGGAACTGGAAGGCCACGGAGTGGAAAGATGGAAGAGTGGCGCTGTGTGAGGAGGGGCTACGGCCGCTGTGTGGTGGGGAGAGGCCGGTTATCACTGTGAATACAAGATGCGGACAGGAAGGAAACCTGATGGCTGTGCCATTTGCTTCAAACATTCCAAATTTTCACTCTTATCAGTGAACCCAGTGGAATTCTACCGCCGTGATGTTCCTCTATTGGACAGAGACAATGTTGGATTAGTGTTGCTCTTGCAGCCCAAGATTCCAAGCGCTGCCTCCCCTGCCATCTGTGTAGCTAACACACATCTGTTGTATAACCCAAGGCGAGGTGACATTAAACTGACCCAATTGGCAATGCTTCTGGCAGAGATTTCCAGTGTTGCCCATCAGAAAGATGGCAGCCTCTGCCCCATTGTTATGTGTGGGGACTTCAATTCTGTTCCTGGTTCCCCACTCTATAGTTTTATTAAGGTGGGAAAATGGAATTACGAAGGACTTGCCATAGGAAAGGTATCTGGCCAGGAACAGTCTTCACGGGGACAAAGAATTTTATATATTTCAATTTGGCCCCCAAACCTAGGTATCTCACAGAACTGTGTGTATGAGGTACAGCAGTTACCAAAAGTAGAAAAGCCAGACGGTGATCTGACACAGACAGAGCCGGACAAGACAGAGGTCCTGGTGACAGCGGAAAAGTTATCTTCAAATTTACAGCACCATTTCAGCTTGTCATCTGTTTATTCACATTATTTGCCTGACACTGGAATCCCAGAAGTGACCACCTGTCATTCCCGAAGTGCCATAACTGTGGATTATATTTTCTATTCTGCTGAAAAGGAAGGTGTTGCAGAGCAGCCAGGAGCTGAAGTTACTTTGGTTGGTGGCTTGAAACTTCTAGCCAGACTGTCACTTCTTACAGAAGAAGACTTATGGACTGTTAACGGACTTCCAAATGAAAATAACTCTTCGGATCATCTGCCTTTATTGGCTAAATTCAGACTTGAGCTCTGACTTTTTTGATTACATATATACTTTGCGTTCCCGTTTGGTTTTTTTTTCCCCCAAAGAGTTCTTAAGAGTTTGCATGTTTATTTATTTTTACGCTATGAAATTTCTGAAGAGGTCTATGTTAAATGTTTCAAACAGGTAACAGAAGAAACAAGTTTACACTTCTTTTTTAATAATGAAAAAATATTTTCCTGACAAGTGAGATCTAAATGCTGTTGATTGCAAAAAAAGTTGTAAATATTTATTCTAAATCCCAGTAAAATTGACAGTGATTTTTAAATATGGTGCAACTTCTTTAATCTCTTAGGAAAGAATTTCGTGTTTTTAGCAAGCTTTAAAGTGGATCCAAAATATCTTTGAGTTCTTGGCAAACCACAACTCATTCCCTTGCAGAAGGCCTGATTTCATCACAAGGATCATGTCTGTTGAGTCCTAACTCATTCATCTCAGAAATCATTGGGTTGTTCACAAGTATCTAACCATTTTAGTTTGTCTTTGATGGGGCTTGATAGTACTTTTTATTTTTTATTTTTTTAAATTTTCGAGTGGTATGTTTTTTTTTTTTCATTTATTTTTATTAGTTGGAGGCTAATTACTTTACAACATTGCAGTGGTTTTTGTCATACATTGAAATGAATTAACCATTGATTTGCATGTGTTCCCCATCCCGGTCCCCCCTCCCGCCTCCCTCTCCACCCGGTCCCTCTGGGTCTTCCCAGTGCGCCGGGCCCGAGCACTTGTCTCGTGCATCCAGCCTGGGCTGGTGATCTATTTCACCCTAGATGGTATGCATGTTTCGATGCTGTTCTCTTGAGGCATCCCACCCTCGCCTTCTCCCACAGAGTCCACAAGTCTGTATATACATATAGGAATAGTACTTTTTGGAACTGTACAAATTGTTTAATCCATTTTATTACCATCCTGAGCCATGTAATGTGCCTGCATTTTATTGGTAAAATGTAGGTCACCATAACTAGTAGGATGAAGTGTTTTGGACAAGGCCACTCTCCATCCTATAGTGGACTGTATAGGATGCCTAAGAGAGTCATTCTGGGGTCATGCCTTGGGTTTCCCTAGTAATTTTTTTTTTTTAATTTAGTTTCAAGAAAAGATTCTGGATTGAAGGAAAGATTTTACTTTACTGAACCAATTCTGTATAAATTTATTAGGAAACTTGTATTTGGAACAAAGTGGCAGCTATAAGATTCTTTTTATTTGCCTCAGAAATAAGAGGAAGCCAGCAGAACTCTAGAGGGGAGATATTAACTTGGAGACCTAAGACTCTTTAATAGTTGATATTAACTGTTTTGTTGTGGTTCAACTGTTGTCGTTTCTATAATGTTTTGGGTTTCTGTCTCTTTTTATCATGATTCAGCAGTGTCAGATGGTGCTGGTCTTTTTTATAAAGTGGTTAAGAGTGGGTCTGAAAAATCCTGCAGTTGGCTCTTAATGAGTGTTTGAATCAAACATTTTAAAACCTAAGTGAAAATTTACTCTTTTCTAGAATTGGGATCAAAGAACTATGTACATTTTTACTAAGTAATTTTATATTGAATTATTCTGAATTATAAAAGTTTTTTACAGTGGGTTTTCTGAATAGAATGCTTCATTTTAAATTAGCAGCAGTAGTTACTTTATAGGCTCGGACTTTTTCTACTGAAATATTTACAACAATTATTAAAAAATAAATAAACCAGATAAATACCCCCCAAAAGTATGTGGGTTATAAGGATTTGCCTAGTAAAAGTTATAGTGTTATAGAAATACTTCTGTTTATTGTATCACTTTTTTTTTTAACTTAACAGTATTAACCGTATAGTTCTAGGATTTTCCACATTTTGTAGGAACAGTTTTCAAAGTATTACATGTTCTGATTAGCAGATATTGTCATCAGCAAATGATAACAGCAGATAGTATTTTTATCCCTTTTAGTATTAGGGAAAGAAAAGTGAAGATTCATGGATAACTATGTTGTGTTGTATGAGTTTGTTAACAACTAACTTTATATATAGGTATTTTTGATAAACAAACATCCCTGAAAACTTAATTTTTTGTATCCTGATTAATATATTGTGATTTTAGGCCCTTTTCACGTACTTCACTTTGAGTTAATCCCATAAAATTGCTTTCAACTTTAGCTTATAGAATGAAGTAGTATTATGTGTACTGTAGGCCAAGGAATCCTTTGTAACTTTCTCACAGGCTTTTAAAGTTCCACTAAAATTAACTGTCCACGTGTCTTCACTTTGTTTGATAAGAAGAGTTAATAACTGTTGGAGCCTTGTATTTACCTGCCAAAAGCAATTAAATTTGGTTAATTGCTGAAACCAAATCTCCCCATCTCACCTGCTGTGCTATCCAGGTTTTAAATGGAAAGGGATATATTGCAGAATTGCAGTAATGAAATTTTGGTTTTACTATAGCTTTTGATATTGGTAGGTGTGTTTGAAATTGTCTTTTCTGAAATGTAGCAACTTGTCTGCTCTTAACCCTTTGCTTTCCTAAAAACACTAAGTTAGAGATCCAGAGTTCAAAGGGTTGGAAAAACATTCACTTTGTCAAGTCATTTGCACTTTGTCCATGTAAGTTACCTAATAAATTATTGTACTAGTACAAAAAAAAAAAAAGAATCTGTTAAATCTTAGCATATGCATACCCTATGACCCTAAGATTCCACTCCCAAGTATATTTCCAATAGAAATGCCCGTATGTTCACTGAAGAGGTATATAATAGTGTTCATCGCTATACTATAGTAGCCCCAAACTAGAAGTTCCCATTTGCTTGTGAATGGTAGCCCGGGTAAATAAACTGTTACAGGTTCACACAGCGGAATTCTATACACCACAATGACAGTAAACAAATTGCCGTCACTTTGAAGAGTATAACTGTCACTCACAAATACAGTATTGAATTTGAAAAGCCAGATACAAACTAGCACATGCTATATAATTCCATTTACATGGACTTCAGAAGCAGGCCAAGCTAATCTAGGATGATGGTTATCCTAGGGAGTGGGGAGGAGCTAGTGCCTGGAAGGGGACATGAGCTTTTTGGAGTCCTGATCATACTCTTTGTCATGGTTGGGTTCTGGTTATACAAGTATCTTCATTTTATAAAAACACACAATGCTGTGTGCCCTTACAATTTAGGCTTTTTTTTTACACTTCAATGAAGTGTAAAAAAATAAATGCTTAAATGTGCCCATTTCACCACACCTACCTCACAATAATTAGATCCTTGAAAAATATACTAACTTTAGAGGCAAAGGGAATGATCACAGACCGCCTTGTGACTTTCCAAGTATGACTGGTACATGGATGCCTTTTGGCCTTAATGGTAATTGAGGTTTCTTACAGTTGAGATGTTGAGTCTGGCATAACTCATATCAAGTTGTATTACAAAGCTATTAAAGATATATTCTCAGTTCTACAGTTAACTGAGAGTTTGAAGTGGCAGTGGTTAATTTCTGAGGTTTACATTTTTAAGCTCAACGAGAATTTTCTTAAAATATAGATATACATCAAGCAGATTTTGTTCATACGTGTTCAGATACATGCAGGAAAAAAAATGCTATTAAGAGACAATGAAAAATAACTTTTTGAAGTTCCAAATCTTAAAATCCCCTGCATGAGTCATAGTTGAAGTATATTAAAGCAATGTTTTTTTTCAACTGACCAGAATTTTAAAGATTTTTAATATATCAATCCCTGTGTTATAAAATATTTGGAATTATAACTTAACAAGCTGCCATAGAATGTTTGCTCTTGAAACAAGTATGTCTTGCTCAGAAGAATAACGATTTTATTAAACAAATGAGTAAATCTATGAACTTAATACTCATATCTAAGTAATTTCCTAATTTTAATCTGGGGATGTGTGAAAAGTGGAAGTCACTTCTTTGGTCACAGGGAGCAGCAGTGACCCCAGGCAAAGTTGGGGAGTGTGAAGTTGTGGCTGAGTTTTGTGTAGTCTGCAAGATGGAGTGGTGGGTAGCTGTAACCTCCAAAAAGGCACCCAGGATTGGAAATTGGGTAGTAAAATATCATCATTTGGATTCGAGGTTAGAAATATTTGCATATGATTGTTTACATCAGCCACCTGGAAATAGCATTAACTCTCTCTAAAATCTGGTTTGTGTTTATGATTTAAGGTGAACACTAATCTATATTCCTGAGGGAATTATTTTAATAATAGCTATTTACTATATATTTGGTATATGTAGAGCTAAGAGCTTTACATTAATTATCACATTTAGACTCCCAACAGTCTTATGAAAGATATTATTAGCTTTGTTTACAGATGAGAAATCAAGGTTTAGAAAATATAAGGACCTTGTGAAAGGTTTTGAAATGTAATATATGATGACTCTGGAGTCAGATTTCTTGGGTTCAGATCTCAGCTCTACTACTCATTAGGCAAATCACTTAAACTAGCTGTATTTTTTTTCTTTTTCTTTATCTAGAGATGATACTAATAGTATTTTAGAATTGCTAAAAGGATTAAGGGGAAACAGTGCCTGACTTTGTTTTTTTGTGCTCCAAAATCACTGCAGATGGTGACTGCAGCCATGAAATTAAAAGACGCTTGCTCTTTGGAAGGACAGTTATGACCAACCTAGACAACATATTAAAAAGCAGAGACATTGCTTTGTCAACAAAGGTCCATCTAATCAAGGTTGTGGTTTTTCCAGTGGTCATGTATGAATGTGAGAGTTGGACTATAAAGAAAGCTGAGCCCCGAAGAATTGATGCTTTTGAACTGTGGTGTTGGAGAAGATTCTTGAGAGTCCCTTGGACTGCAAGGAGATCCAACCAGTTCATCCTAAAGGAGATCAGTCCTGGGTGTTCATTGGAAGGACTGATGTTGAAGCTGAAACTCCGATACTTTGGCCACCTGATGCGAAGAGATGACTCATTGAAAAAGACCCTGATGCTGGGAAGGATTGAGGGCAGGAGGAGAAGGGGACAACAGAGGATGAGATGGTTGGATGGCATCACCGACT